ACAATGGCTTCACCATGACAAAGTCCACAGCCTGCACACGTGGAAAACATAGAACTTCTTATTAAACCAGGTTAAATTTTGCCAGGTGTGTTGGAGTAAAGCACTTGTCCTCACAAGCCCATGCCTGCCCTGGCACATCCCTTGGGTCTCTTCTCTGGCATCTCTTGTGAGAGCTCAAGGTACTAAACATACCTGGTTTTGATAAGAAGAAACAAAAATGTGCTGCTGGTGTTTGCTGCTGCTTGCTTTGGGGTCTTCTTCACTGCTCTCAGCACAGAGTAAATAGGAAAGCAGCCCCTCCTGCTTGGGATAGTGGGTTTTGTTGTTTGTGTTTTTAGCAGGAAAGTTGCCTTTTGATCCCAGGGACATCCCTCCTGCCTCAATGCACAAGTAATTCAGCAAAATTTTTCAGGGCCAAAATCCAGCTCTAAAAAATAGGGGCATGTTGCTACCAGCAGCTGCACACAGCCTCCTCTGTCCCCACCACTCCTGCAGCCTCCCCACCCTGGGCAATAGGGGAATGGGATTTCATCCTTCTGCTTGGTGCCAGGAAGCATCTAAAATGCCTCAATGAGAGAACAAGAAGCCTGTATAGGATGGTTTGGTTTCTCCTGGCCTTCTCCTTTCAGTATGCAGAGCCTGGACAGTGATGTCCCACTGACAGAAAGCAGCTGAAAATCCAGGCTGGGGAATCCAGGGAACAAGAAGTATGTGAACAACATGTTTTCCCTTGTGGATTCGCAATGTTCTCTTGCAAAGTCCTAGCAAACACTTCTGCAGGTGCAAGATCTTGAATGGGTGGGAGAGGGGCAGGGCAGAAACACTCATAGTCTCTTCTTAAACCATAGCTGTCCTAAAGTCACAGTCCTGCATGACCTCTGTGTACCCACACACCCATCTGCAGGGGTTTAATGTTTTCTTTTCTAGTCTCTCCTAAATACATTAAGTAGCTGCATCCCAAGCCACTCTATCTCCCTAATCTCCATGATAATTCACCCCTGGGAGATGTCTGCATGGTGCTATGTGTTACATTGATATTTTGGAGAGTATTTCCACTTTTTTGTGCCTTTAGGACCTTGCTGTGCTGGTGGCTACTTCACCTTCTCCAAGTTTGCTGGGCACCACCACCCAAACAAGCTTGGGATGCCTCTGGATCATACCAGTCCTTCCTACCACCACAATCCCTTTGACCATTATCCATGGTGGTCACCACCACCCAGGTGGCCTGGTGCCAGATCCCAGGTGCCACAGCAAACCCAGGTTATGTAACCACTATGAGTGCAGCCAGTCCCACAGTAGCACCATGTGTTCCCTATAAATTGAGGTGGGGCTGCTTCACCTGCAGCAGTGAGTGTGCTGCTGGGAGGTAAGGGGATAGCTAGAAATATCCATGGCTCCCTAGTGTTTTGAGCCCTTCTGAGCAGTGAGTTGAACACTTTGCTTCCCCCCATTGTTTTTGGGGTTAGCTGCTATAGGGAAAGGATGGGAGCAGGGCAGTTCTTGCCATGGGGCAAGCAGGGGCATGGAGTCCTGGGTGTTATCTCTGGCTTCTCTTCTATAGAGTAGGGAATGAAAAGCTATGCATAGCTGAAATGTTTGTCATGCAAGTTAACTCCTGACATGCAAGGCAGGAGAAAAAAAAAAAAAGTAGTGAATAAATAAACTGCCTATGCTTGTAGTTTTTTTCTATAACTTGACAAAGTCCAGTTTTCATTTAGAACTTGGAAAGCCAAGAGTTTTGAAGTTCTTACTGAAAGCTGAAATTGTTCATAGGAAATGCAGTGTTACAAAGGAATTTGTCCAAACCCACTTTTCTGCTGAAAGCTACTTGCTGCTGACTATTTGTCCCCTTGTGTGCCACTGTCTCCCCAAAGTGCCACTGTCCCCCAGCAGCTAGAAGCATGTCCTAGAGTGGAGGAGCTGGTGCCACTTGGCCAGTGTGCCACTAGGTTGGTGACCATGCTGAGATCAAACTGCGGCTTGCAGCAATCCTACAGCCATCCATTTGTCTGTCTTGAACTTCCCCAGCAGGAAGGCTTTGGGAGGCAGAAGCAAAGCATCTCTAAAGCTGCAGTGTTACAGCTGCAGTGGTACCAAAGCTGGTGGCGTCTGTTCTGGGGGCAGCAGACAGGATGCATGGGCTTGGAGCAGTCATGTATGTTTGACAATGTTTTTCTAAGAAAGGAAGTGGCAGAGCTCCAAAGATTAGACACAAATATTTGCAAGGCCAATAAAGAGGGGTAGTTCAAACGTGATTGCAAGAAAAATTGGCAGTGGTTTGTCCCTGAGCTGCAGACTCATAAAGAGAGTTTCCAGGGCAACTGCAGGGCTTTATGAGCAGCCTGGCTGGCACGCAGAAAGGGGGTGGATTTCTTTATTGAGGAGAAAAAAAAAAGAGAGAGAGAAGATTAAATGGCTTTAAATGTTCGTCTAGTTTGTAAATTAAGAGTCCAGGTAAAGGGAATGAAAGGTTTGTCTGCTGTGCAGAGATGTGAAAGATCTCAGTTTGGGAGGGAAACACCAATTCTGTGTATGAGGGATGGAGGGCTGGGCCTCCCTGAGTTTCCACTGGCCATCAATTGCAGCTCTTTTCTCTTGCCACCTGGATTGTTCCTGCAGAACTTGTCCCTGTAGAAGTAACAGGTGCTCAAGTAATTAAGGCTGGTACTTTCCTAGCCAGCAGTACAGACAGCCCAGTAGATTTAAGGGGAATCTTCTCCTTGTGGTTGGCGTGGGCAATTCGGGACAGAACATCAGGGTGGAGGTCAGCTGTGTGGCCATGGAGGCACCACCACCAATGGGGAAAATGAAATACGATGTTCTCAAATTGTACCAGTGGAGGTTCAGGTTGGATATTAGGAAAAACTTCTTTTTGGAAAGGGTGCTTGGGCACAGGAATGGGCTGCCAAGGGAAGAGGTGTGATCACCATTCCTGGAGATATTCAAGAACTGTGAAGTGTGGTACTGAGGGAAGGCCAGTGGGCATGCTGGAGGCAGGTTGGGGTTGGACTCAGCGATCTCAGTGGTCTTTTCAAACCACAATGATTCTGTGCTGGAGGTACTGTTGAAGGACAACTCAATTGTCTTCCAGAACTGCTCTGAAGAGGAGCTCGTTGATAACGTAGCCTTCTACACTGGCTCTCCTGTACTAAAATGCTTTCAAGCTGGGCACATCTTGCCTCTCAAATATTTCAGAGCACAGAGATGAATACGGAAATTCAGGTGCGTATATGTGAGTCTTGAAGGAACTCTGGAGGATCCATCTTGGCAGGACTTGGTGCTTCTTTAAGGATAGGTGATTTGTCCCCAGTGAACACCAGAGGAGAGGAAAGGGTGGAGGTGAATTCATCTCAGCGTGCTTTGGCAGGACGAGCATTGCTGAGCTAAATACAAGTAATGAGACTCCCCTGTCCCCCTGGGCAAAGGCTTCCCCCATTTACTATTGCAGAATGAGACCATGCATCCCTCCCCCTTAGAAGTTAAATCCCCCAAGATGCTCTCATCTGTTTCCCTTCTGTCAGCTGCCTCCACATTCTGTGATGGAGAAGGAATAAAAGAGAAGATGATAGAGAGAAGCATGTGCTGCTCCCTGCATCTATAGCAGAGGCTGGAAACTATAAATGTCTGCATCCAGCCACTTATTTATTTGCTTGTGCTTAGCTGATATAACCTGTGGTTTGACACTGATATTTTGCGTGTTGAGGGTGGGAATGTATTGATTCAAGGTAGCTGAGACTGAAGCTTGCTTGGGGAGCTGGGGAATTTGCCATGATCCTGAGACAAAATGGCAGAGAAATTAATGGTAATACATGCAAATTAATTCAGCAGAATTAAAAGAAAAAAAAGCTGTACACACAAATTATCTCACCTCTCAGCACAGAGATCTGAATCACAGTGAACTGCTGTCTGAAGGCCTCAGCAAGGGGCATGGAGGCTGCCAAGAGGTCAAATTAAAGGCTGAGTATTACTGGGAAATTAATGGGGCAAGACTGAGTATGTTATATTAATCTGTGCTTCACCTGGATCGCTAAAGGAAGAAAGATGTAGAAAAGCAAAACAGAGGATGGATATGAATCAGAATAATTACTATCTAACAGAACTGTGCAATGTGGTTATTTTATATATTGTATATATTATGTATTACAGTATGTTTTATATATTTATATATTGTAGTGGGAGAAGCTGTGCATTCTGCTGGGCAGGTGAGCTGGAAGCAAACTTCTGAGTCACTGTGCCTTCCTGCAGTATACAGTGGAAATGAGTTTGAGAGGAAGCTAGAGGGTGCTGCTGCCTTTCTCACATAGCACGTGATGTCTCTGGGGAGGGCAAAGGCAAAACTAGTTAAAAATAAACTTAAAAAAAAAAAACAAAAAATGAAACACCACAACCAAACAAGAACGAAAAATCCTATTTTAATAAGATCATTTGGAAAAGGTACACCAGGGTGCAGAGGAAGCTCAGGTGCAACTCGTGGGTGACTGCTGCATGTGAGGAAGGTGTACCAGAGCCAGGATCACTCTGCATAAGCTGTGGTAGGCAAGATTTGGGCAAAGAAGCAGCCTCCCCAGTGCCTTTCCTAAGAGTGATCCAATTTTTGGGACACAACAGCAGTGAAGACGCAGAGCATCTGACCTCCATTTCCTCTGCCAACCCAGACTCATTCCTCCAACTCATTAAGGTTTGAGCTGTCCTTTGACAAAATCCTCAAAACTGACTATAGGGTGTACGTGGAAAACCTTGCCGCTTTCATTGGCACCAAGTCCAATATACTGCTTCTGACCAACCCTGTCTGTCCTTCTCCACCTTCCTTGGCCCCCGCATCTCCTACTGGTGGCAGTAGTGGGGCACGTGGGGATGTCTTCACTCACTGAGACAGCACCTTGCAGCCAACCAAGGCATGTGGCCCCAGCACCTCCTCCAGTGACAGTGGGTGACCTCTATTTGTGGAGATTTTATGTGCAGCATTCAGTAGTCCATACCCCCCCAAGCCAGCAGGCAGGCATAGGGAGCCTGGTGGCCCATTGCCCCACAGGTGCCCAGTGATGGGGCAGGATGCAGGGGTCCTCAGACACAGACACGACGCCAGTGTCATGAGTGGGAGTCCCTGCAAGCAAGCATGCTGCCTTGGGGATTAAGGTCCATGTCTTTGCTGTGCACGCTTTCAAGCACCGGCAGTGGAATGAGCATGGGTATAAAGGTCAGTGGTGCAGCAGTCCTGTGAGCAGGGCCAGGCAGAATTCCACTTCGCCCTTAAATCCATGCTTGGAGAAGCTCCAAGAAAAGATCGGATGAGCCCTAAGGAGAAAAGGCACAGTGAAAGCTTGCTCTGAATTCCTTTCTGGCTGCGTTTTGTGTGTTGTCGAGACAGCTGGCCAGCAGGACTGGTATCGGGGCGGGTGAGTTTGGGGGCTTTATGGAGATGGAGTGGTGACTGGCTTAAAGGCACACTCACTTTGCTATATGGGGTTTGCACCTGTTCCTGTGGCACAGAGCTGCAGCTGGATGAGAGCATCTGTGGGTGTATTCGAGTTCCTTGCTTCTCCCAGGTGATTTTCTCTGGATTTCTGCACTATTTTCCAGCTCCTATTTAAGTTAACTTAATCTTCGATTGTAAAATTGGTTGAAAGTAAGTTATAAATGAATCTTTCTTGAGACTGCAGGAGAAATGCTTGTTATCTAGTCAGAGTTTGCACAGACTCATTCTTTTCATTTCTCTGATTATGCTGGTTTCAGCGTAGCTCAGTTTACACAGCTGAGCTTGCACTTCCTCCCCTGAGCCCTGCCCCGCCTGGCTTTCTCGCCTTGCATGTTTTGTAATGCAAGCAGCACTTTCACAACACTGCGCTACTTCTGAATCGCTGCTCCATGCCCCCATCCCATCAGGCATCTTGGCAGTTTTTTTCCTAAAGCCTTTTTCTTTCCTATTTAATGGAAATTAAATACAAAAGCACAAAAACAAGCCATGGGGGTGGGAGGAAAAGTGCTGTGTTTTTGCTGATTCTGCACTCCTCGTTTCCTTGTCGGTCACTCTCTGTGCTCCCCTCGCTGCCAACAGGACACCATGGTGCACCGAGTGGCTGTAATCGGGGCAGGGATCAGCGGGCTGGTGGCCACCAAGTGCTGCCTGGATGAGGGTTTGGAGCCCACCTGCTTTGAGAGAAGCGAGGACATCGGGGGGCTGTGGCGCTTTGCAGTGAGTGAGCTCTGCTTGGTTTTCTCCTTCCCCTGTGCTCCCACAACAGCCCTGCTCGTTTCTCACAGGACAATGCAGACTGCGGGAGGCTCAGCGTGTACCGCTCCATCATCAGCAATACCTCCAAGGAGATGTCCTGCTTCAGTGACTTCCCCTTCCCGGAGGATTTCCCCTCTTTCCTTCCTCACAGCCTCTTCTTGGAGTATTTCCGCATGTACGCTCGGCACTTCCAGCTCCTGAGGCACATCCGCTTCAAGGTGAGCTGGGACCAAAAGCAGGACGGCCTGAGGGGCTGCAGGAGCTGCCATCAAATGGGTGGGACGGGACAATGAAGGGTGTGAAGTCCACAAGCCCTGCACGCTCTGGGCATCCTCAATGCAGCCTTTTTGGCTCTATCTTTTAAGTGAGGCTGCTTGAGCATGGACTGCCTTGTGCCCCCCATGCTGTGCCCCATGTGGGGGGAAGGTGTAGGTTTATTTTTGCAGTTCATACCTGAAAGGTACCCGAAGGCCTAGCAGCCCCAGCCCTTTGTGAACAGCACCTTTCTGAAACACAGCACAGTCTCTGATCCTTGCGTTATTGGGCTTTTCAAGACAACAGTTATCAGTGTGAGGAAGCGCCCGGATTTTGCCACCTCAGGCCAGTGGGATGTGATCACTGAGACAGAGGGCATCCAGGAGTCGCACATCTTTGATGCTGTCATGGTCTGCGCAGGAATCTTTCAGAAGCCCCACCTGCCGTTGGCTTCTTTCCCAGGTGAGTCCTGCCTCTGCAGTGGGGTGGGCTGGGGTTGTTCCTCTGCTCCACAAGGCTCACCAGCCAGGGCACCTGTGACTCTTGCCCCGTGAAAATGGATGCGAGCATATCCAGAAATGGATAAACCACCTCATGAAGATGCAACAGTGCTGTTCCATGAGGATTTTCTGAGCAGGATCATGACAAGGTTACTCAGAAAGGTGGGAGAAGGTGAAAGCATCGCCACTACTGGTGGAGCTGAGAGTTCTGTGGGCTTTGCAGCACTGGGCTTGGCTGCAAAGCAGCATGACCGGGTTTGGCATCAAGTCGGTGCAAATCTGTGGTGATAGGAGATGTTCCTCACCCTCTGCACAGGTATTGAGACCCGCTTCAGAGGTCAGTACTTTCACAGCCTGGAATACAGAGATGCAGCTGCTTTCCAGGGAAAGCGGGTCCTCGTGATTGGACTTGGGAACACTGCCTGTGATATTGCTGTGGATATGAGTCATGTTGCTGCAAAGGTACAGCATCACGGTGGGTGGGAGATGGGACAAGCAGGAGGGAGGTTAAAACCAGAGTTTCTCTCAAAGCCAAGGTTAGCAAGACCCACCACAGGGACACGTTTCCCTTTCCTTTGCGTGGTTCTTGACAAACCGCTTCCTGGCGTTAGGCACTTGCCTTCCCTTCAACCACTCACTCTCTGAGCGAGGCTTCATCACTGCTTTTCCACTTTACCGACACACAGCCAAGCTCTTCCTGTTCCCATATACCTCCCCAAAACTTTCTGCAAGCACACAGAAGATGCTAAAGCACCTTCTTGAACAGAAATATGAGACTGCTGCACCGCTGTTAGCAGCTATGTTGCACACCTTTGATTTCTTCTCTCTGTCCATCTTGCAAGTACAGCTCTATCTTCACCTCTCAGTACCCACAGAAACTCACAGTTTTGCTCCCCAAGCATTTCCTCTCACTTGCCCATTGGGTTTCTCAACAAACAAGCCTTAAATTGAGGCCAATTGAATGAGCTTTGCAATTTCTGGAGAATTTGGACTATCTGGGAACTTTGCAAAAGCCCGCCATGAACTGGTTGGTTCATCTGGACACCAGATGCCTTCATTGGGACCTTGCTCACAAGCACGGGAGTTGGGATTTGCTACATCAGGCAAAAATGGAAGTCAGGCTTCTGGGCACGAGGCCCTCAGGTCTGCCTTCTCTGCCAGGTATTTCTCAGTGCCAGGAGCAGCACGTGGGTGTTCAGCCGGGTGGCAAACGATGGCTTACCCTGGGACATGCTCAACACCACGCGCTTTAATCACTTTCTTGAATGGCTTCTCCCATCAGCCATCATGAAAAGGATCAAGATTTGGAAGATGAATTCATGGTTTAACCATGAGATCTACGGCTTGGCTTCTGCTAAAAGGTGGTTGTTCTGGTTTTGTTTTGTTTTGGTTTTTTTTTGTTAGAATGTATTTTTAATAGTGTGAAATCATCTTTCATTTCAAAGGATATTTGCAGAATAGCAAACCATCAGAGAGGATTTTTTTTTCCATTGATAATGCATTTAGTATGGCTTCACACTCTTGGTGCCTGTTTGCAGTCCTGTTGGGTTCTGGGAACTCAATATTGTCCATGTCCTAGTATCAACTCCACCCCACATCAGGGTGTTTTGCAATGGTTAATCAAGCCACAGGGGGCAGAGATCCAAACCCGAGGCACACACCCCTCACATCCCTCGTAAGCACCGCTTTCTTAGGAAAGGCCACAAAAGACATATTGCATCTCCCTTGGATGCTAACATTTCTCTCCTTTTTTTCTCCATGCGAAAGTTCCAATTTTAAATTCATTATCAATGAAGCGCTGCCAATTTGCATGCTCTCTGGAACCATTGTGCTGAAATCAAATGTGAAGGAGTTCACCGAAACTTCAGCCATTTTTGAAGATGGAACAACTGAAGAGAACATCGATGTGGTGATCTTTGCCACAGGCTACAATTTTTCATTTTCCTTTCTTGAAGAGTCAATTTGCAACCAACTCAAAAGTAATCATACCCTATATAAATGTGTCTTCCCACCCCAGCTGGAAAGGCCAACGCTAGCTGTCATCGGTTTGGTCCAGCTGACTGGCTCCGTGATGGTGGGAGCAGAAATCCAGGCTCGCTGGGTGACAGGAGTCTTTGCAGGTGAGAGAGGGACTGCAGGGATAGGGGAGGTGCTGAGGAGGGAGGACAGGTCTACTTGCTGCTCTTGGGACCATGCTGGGCATCACCGCATGCTTTTGGTGAAGGTACTGGGAGCATGGAATGGGAAGAATGACTACTAACTGCTCTGCTCATAGGTCTCTGCATGACTTCTGGTCTCTTTACTCTTCTCAGGCGCATACAAACTCCCTCCCAGCAGCAAGATGATGGCTGAAGTCTCGAAAAAACAGCTGCCAGTCAAAAGGTGTGTGATGCTCCTGTACTTGGGCTCATAGTGTGGGCATAGTGTGATATGCCTTTGCACTTCATAAGCAAATCAAGCTGAGAAAAGTTGGACCTCTCTCTTGCCAAACCCTTTCTGCTGATCCATGCTGAGCTCTGGGATGAAGCAAACCCTCAGCGATGTGGGGAGGAAGCAGCACAGCACCCATAACCTGCAGGTCCCTCTGTGGGTCCTGCACAACCCACCCTCTCTCACAGCACCTCTGCGTGGAGCTTTGTTTTCCTCTAGACAGAGGGTGCCATCTCGTGGCTTCTCCCTCCCCAGTCTAGGAAACGGGCAGCGTGGGCTGAAGGCCACATCCCATCCCCAAAGCCCACTGGAGCTTAGGGGCAGTTTCCTAGCTCAGGCCACTCTGTGGGTTGTGTTTCAGAGACCACAAGCAGGTTATGGAGACAGAGCCTCTTTCTTGTGCTAGGCCAGCTGTTGATAACCCTGCATAAAGGTTCTTTGGGTGCTCTTAGGTCCCTTCATGTCACCCTACAGCAGGGCAGCCTGAGGGAGCTCAGCCAGCTTGTGTTCCTTGCAACATGGTGGCTTTTGTGAGCCCAGAGCAGTGACCCAAGGTGGGAACATAACATGCTATTTGATTTTCTGTATTGATTTTATGCCCATGGAAGGGATGTGCCTGAGAAGCGGAACTTGATGTTGAATTTCATTAGTTACACCAGTGAGATTGCTTCGTGTGCCGGTGTGAAGCCCAGCGTGCTGCGGCTGCTCCTGACCGACCCTCGGCTGGCCCTGGCTGTCTTCTTCGGGCCCTGCACATCCTACCAGTACCGCCTGATGGGACGGGGGCAGTGGAGCGGGGCTAGGGCTGCCATCTTGACACAGTGGCAGCGGGTCTTGAAACCTTTGAGAACTCGGGTGTTGGAGGACAGCGCCTCCTCACGCTCCTGGCGCTGGCTGGGCCTCCTCGCCCTGCCTACAGCACTGGTGGTAGGGTTCCTCCTCTCCAAATATCCCAAGCTGGGGTGGGCTCCCCGGGCACGACTTATGTTCTAGAAGAGACCCTACAAAGACGGTGCCGTGCCGTGCCAACAGGGAGGTGTCTGTGGGTCCAGAGTGTGGGATCTCACTCAGTGTGGGTGGTATCTCTGACGCTATCTGTGGTTGAAATGCAGCAGGACAAGACTGTGGGGAGGTTGGGGATGAGGCCGAATGGCACGGGCCTCCTCAGCACTGCGGATTTGGGAACAGCAGTTGTGTTCATATGGAAACTTCTGGGAGGGGCTAGCCGGAAATAAACCTCAGCGAGCTTCTAACGGTGCTACGCATGGTGGGAGTCCACGTTTTTAGTAATGCGTTGACTAATCGGCGATGGGGGTTGGGGAAAGGCGAGGGGGACTCACAGCTTTGGGCCACGGCCCGGCGCCAGCCCACCCCGCGCACAGACAAGGGCTCGGGAGAGCAGAGGGCGCGCGAGCCACGCCTCCCGCTGGGGGAAGCCGCCACTTCCGACCGCTAGGGGGCGCTCGCGGGCTCCGCGCGCCTCCCGGACTGCGGCACGGCGTGGGGTCACGTGAGTGGCGGCGCGAGGGGTGGCGCGCGCGCGCGGCGCGGTGAGGTCAGACGTCGTTGGCGCCGGCTTGGCCGCCCGCCATCTTGGCCCCTGTGTGGAAGCGGCTGAGGCGCGGCGTCGCGGCGCCGGGAGCGGTAGCGGCCTCGCCGAATCCGGGAGCCCCGGGGAGCGTGGGGTGGGGGGGAGGCCGGAACGCCGGCCCGCCGCGCTGCGCGCCAGGTGAGAGCGACTGCTTCCCTTCTCCCGCGGCTCCTCGCCGGCCGGCGATGAGAAACCGGTGCCGGGAGGAGCGGGAGAGCGGCCTGCGCCGCATGGCCTCGGGCGGGGGCGGCTTCCGGCCGGCCTGGCGGCGGTGTTGAGCGGCCTGGCGGGGAGCGGGGTGCGCGCGGGGCCGCGGCCGGGTGGAGGAGAGGGAGAGAGCGGGAAGGAAGGAGGGAAGAAGGGAGGCGGCAGGGCGCCCTGGCCTGCGGCGGGCCGCGCTGCTGGGCCGCAACGCAGCGCATCGCCGTCTGCGGCCGGCCGCGCCCCGCAGCGGGCAAGGCGCCGGGCCTCGCCCCACGGCTGGGCTGCGGGGCCGCTTCCCGATCCACGGCTCCCCGTTTCTCATCCTTCTTCCCCGTTTCCCACCCCTTTCTTAATTTCTACCTTCGGTTCTATTCCTTCCCTTTCTCTCTGAACGTCTCTGTCCCTCTCTAGGGAGATTCCCGGCGTTCGTGTTCTCTTTGTGGCACTGATTCTTCCTCCCGAGATCCCCCGGGGGGAGTTTTTTTTTTCCTGCTGCACGCTGTGCGGCTTGATTTTCTAACTCTGAAATGTCCATCCACAGTTCTGGAGATGCACAGTAAAAGGCTGCTGCTGGGTTATGTCTCTTAGATGTGAGTGAAGCGCCTTTGGGAAAGGTATTGTGGCTTCTGCTCTCAGGAATGAGGTTTGTTGGAGTGGGGTGGAGAGGGCTGGGAGGGGGCTTAGCGATTAAATCATAGGCTGAGATGACATGGCTAAAATTCAGGTAGGTGGTCTGCAACGGGAGCCATCACATACAGATACAGATTGAAATTTTGAGGCTAGTTTCCAGCTCAGGCCCTCTTTATGGAGGAATCAGAGCATGCATGAGAGCCTGGTGCTGGGAGTTGTAGTGAATGCTGTGTGGTTTCTTTCCCTTTTGTGTCTTGGGCATGCGTTTTGTAAGCATGTCCCTTTGTAAAAGGTCTTGAACCCTTTCTCATTGGAAAAGGGCTGTTTTTTGTTATCGTTCTTTGGTTACTGGAGTCAACTGAGTGTACTAGTAGAAATAAGGATTATTTCAAGCAGAAGGAGTGTTGTTTTTTCTTCAATCGATTTGTTTCTTCTGCTGTGGGATATCAGGCCTACCCATTGTCTAGCCTTAAGAGCTGTGCTTGGACAAGAAACTGCATTTTAATGGGGGAGGAAATGGGACATGATCTCATCTGTCCATCAGGAAGAAACGAAAGGATGGCCTTATAATACTGAGTGCCAGGAGATGAATGGTTCTCAAATTCCTTTGAATCATAAAACCCAGAGAATTTTTCTTCATAATTAATATTGGGACCCTTCTCCAGGGTCTTCCCTGGGACTAAAGAACCTTTAAGTTTAGAGAGCTAAACTTAGAGTTCAATGGAGAGGCGTTTTGTCTCTCAGTATTGGGCTCAGTGTGTGAGGTTATGGCTGCTGTGATGCAGGTGTGTTAATAAAAGGTGGCCATGTGAGCTGAATTGGGAAGTGGCATAGGCCAGTGTTTGTGTACAGCCACCAGGACTGGTTCCTGTCACCTGGAACACCACCGTTCTATATATGTATTTTCTACATTAGGCCTTGCTTTGGTAAGTATTAGCTTGTAAAATGTGTGTAATCTTGGCTAGTCTTCTTCTGCAGATATTTTATGAATATCAACCTGTAGTTTCTTTACTTTTGTTTAGATTTAGGAGCCCTAATTTTCTGTAGAAAAACCTTTACAAATTGTTGCATCTGTTTACAGCTGTAACTTCCTTATTGCTGGAGTCCTTGTTTGATGGTACAGATTTATGGAATGCACTTTCTTTAGGTCTGTCTTTCTCAAATCCTCTAGTCTACCAGGGAAGGTTAAATGACCCACAAAGAAGAGGGAAAAGATGGTGCTTTCATCAAAAGATGAGAGAGCTCTCATTCAGGTTTTGTTCTTGTCTGAATGGATTTTTTAGATTAATAAAATGAAAGAATGTAAGGCAAAGCAGTGGATGTGTTGGTGGGTTGACTTGTGCCAGGCGTCCTGGGTTACACAAAGTGCAAGCCCCTTAGTCTGACGTATTTGCCTAGTCAGCTGTGGGAGTGATGGGAAAGTGGAGAGAGGGTGGAGAACAGCCTAAATACCATATAAGGGTGATGTGGATAAGAGGCTTAGATGTGGAAACAGAAAGGAAAAGGTAGCTCTCACAGGAGGATTAAACCCATGCACCGTGTACTCTTGCAAAGGAACAAACCCTTGTATAGTGCATTTTGGACAGTGATAGGACAAGGGGGTATGGTTTTAAACTGAGACAAGGGAGGTTTAGATTAGATATTAGGAGGAAGTTTTTCACACAGAGGGTGGTGATGCACTGGAACAGGTTGCCCAAGGAGGTTGTGGATGCTCCATCCCTGGAGGCATTCAAGGATGTGGCTCTGGGCAGCCTGGACTGGTGGTTGGCAACCCTGCGTATAGCAGGAGGTTGAAACTACATGTTCATTGTGGTCCTTTTCAGCCCAGGGCATTCTGTGATTCATTGGAGGTGGGAGTGAGGAAGACAGATGTTCCTGTAGTTATTGAAGGAAGAATGGGGCAGAGGCCAATTGTAGTAATGGAGGACATGAAGGGGGAAGAAAACCTCCGCCCTGAAAATGCAGCACCTTTGCACTAGTTGGGGATGGATGCTGGGCCTGTGATGACGGGACCACAAGTGGTATTTTACTGGTAGAACCAGTTGTTCATCTTCGGTAGTGAATTTTTTCTTCGCTCAGTTTCATGCCCTCGTTTGTGGGTTGTTGGTGGGTGTTTGGTTTTTTTTTTCAGGACTGGGTTTCACAAAACCTTGTGGAAACTTTCCATGGGTGAAAGCAGGTGTAAAAAGAAATGCTGAGATTGGTGTGAGGAGGCTGGGGAGATAATACAGTGTGCTCGTGTTTGTGGAATGCAGATGGGGTGGACAGAAGTCTTGGAAAAAGAAATGCATAAAGAGCAGAGGAAGATGAAGTCCTAATAAAAATCAGATGAAGACAGCTTTTATGTCTAGGAAGAACAGGCTAACAGAAATAGACTGTTTTTATTACAAATACCTCAGCCATTACATAACATTCTAACTAAACAGTAATGAACTAGACTATTACAGATTGCCCTGTATTAGAGTGAGAAGCTTTGTATCATTGTATTGTTTTCCTGTATCTGATAACATCTTGATTAATGATTGAATTAGAGTGCAGAATTGCATTGTGTATCTTCTATCTCAAGTATGATAGTGGTAATTTTTAACTGATGTGTTTTTGAAGATAACTTGAGCTACGTTTTCAGAGATTTGCAATGCCAGAGACAGAAATTACTGCATTTTACATTTGGGTACATCAGCTGTGAAAGTATTGGACCACCTGGTGTTGGGTAGCTGAGAGAAGATGATCTTAAATATCTCTTTAATTCAGTGTACAACTGACTTCTCAGTGACAGAGCAGAGTTACTCCATGTTTAGGTAGCTGGGATGTAAGTTGTAGCTCAGCATGCTCTGAGCAACCAAATGGATTTCTGTAGTAAAACTGCAGTGGCTAGGTTGCCCATTTTTTGCCACTGTTTGCTTCTGTTAGCAAACATCAAACTTCTCTGCTTAGAAAAGCAAACAGTTTCAGGCTGTCCTCATTCAATCACACAGGCAATTTCAGTTTATTTTTAGTATTAATGTTTCTGTAAGCACATGA